CTGTGCTCATGACTCCTTCCAGGATATTCATCCCAAAGCAGAAGGAGCTCAGATTTAGGACAGATGCAGTCACTGGCCAACTGCACTCCCATAAATATGGAAAGGAATTTGATGGTGCTCTGTCCAGACAGCTAACTAGTGGCAATCTTAATGGATCATCTGGGCCTTCTGGCTTCCCACTCCCAATTATGGAAGAATTTAAGTCACTTGTTAGGAATAAATTCAACCACTTGTCAAACTACCAAATGCCCAGGCTAAGTATAGAGGAGTGGAAATCAGATTCCTCTATTTGAACTGAGGTAGAAAAGCAACTTGGTATGTTTCAGACTCTATTATAAATTCCACAACAAAGAGAAACATTAAACTGGGTTTCTTATCCACTTGTGTTTATTTATTTTTGAGAGGGCTGGGTGGATATATGTGTTGTCTTGGTTACTTTTCTCTTGTTGCTGGGACAAAATACCTGACGCCCAAATTAAGGAAGGAAAGGTTTATTTTGCTTACAGTTTGAGGAAGTTTCAGTCCATACTTGGCAGGTTACAAGGCAGAGTGGCACATGGCAGAGGGCTACAGCTCATGGCGGCAGAACACAGCAAAAGCAACAAGCGCAAAAGGGAGGAATGGTGGCAAGCAGCCTCTTCCTTTCCCTTACATATGCAAGCTATCCACCCCAGGGCGGGTGTAGCTCTCACACTCATAATCAGTCAAACTCTAAAAGCCTGCCCCGTGACCACATGAGGCTTTGGGAGGACACCCAGACACAAACCATAACATGTGTGCTTATAAAAGTATATGAATATTAATTATTGCTTTTATTTTTGTGATATCTTGCTATTTCACATTGGTTCTTTTACACCAAGGTTGTCTTCTTAGAGTTTTCTAAATTAGTTTCTCTGTAAGGTCATTAATTGGCCTCAATTTGATCTATAAACTTAAACACAAAAAACATGAAAATTATATAAGATGTCTCCAAGAATTTATAACTCCCCAAAAGCTGATCTCACAAATACTGAAATCAATGAATTTCCAGGGAAAAAAACAATAGTTAAGATGATTAAGATGATCAACAAAGAGATACATAAGATGAAATAATCAAATAATAAGATAATAAATGGACTGTAATCCCTGCACTCAGGAAGTTGAGGCAGGATGATTACCATGAGTTTGAGTCCAGCCTAGGCTACATAGTGAGTTCAAAGTCAACCTGAACTAGATAGTGAGACCCTGTCTCAAAACAAAACAAAAAAAAAAGATAATAAATAAATTTAAAGAAGATTCAAGTAGCTGAATGAATCAACTGCTAAGATGATCAACAGGCTTAAAGAAGATACAGATAGACACTTTGAGGAACTAAGGAAAAAAACTTGGCTCAGTAGAATGACTCAACATAGTTAAATTTAATATTAGAGTTATGAGTCAGTAGCATAACACCATAGAATGACAGACACAAGCCTGCTGAAAGAGCTGTAGTGTAGGGAATAGTTGCTGTGACTCAACCGGGAATGCTGCCTTCAAGATCCATTGAGGAGCCTGCTGACAGAAAGGAAGAAAGGGAGTGCATAGCCTGCCATGTATGATTTCACATAGGTGCCAGTAGTGGAGACAATTCCCCATACAGCTTGGGTAACACCCTTCCCCACATCAGACATGGCTGCTTGTCACTAAAAACACAGGGAAAAACTTTGTGGTCTCACTGCTCCCTACTCACAGGAGCAATCTGGAGTAATCTTGAACACCATGTTTTCAGCTATCACCCTGCCCCCAGGGCTCACAGTATAAGAAGTCCTATACAGAAAATTTGTCCAGTCCTGGCTATGGTTCACTCACTCTTGCAAAAAACTCAGTTGAGAAGAATTTGTCCAGCTCATCACAACTCATTTTGTTCAATCCTTGACAGGCATTTTGTCTGAAAATATTGGACTGAGAAAGACCCTGGCCATCACCTTGCTCCCAGATATTCTGAACTATGGGGACTCTTAGATTCCAGTGTTGGGCAGCTGCCTACCCAATAGTAGCAGAGAAGAACAACACGATCTTTCTTGCCAAAGCAACAACCTGCATTCACATCATTGTTGGCACTAGCGCTTTGATCATGCACTGAAAACAAAACTGTATGTTATGCAAGGTTATTTCCTCCTGGGCGGCATCAACTGATGTTTTGGTATCTTCTTTATTTGAGATTACTGAGTTTGGGCATAATGTGTCCTGTATCGTAGTTGGAGATAATCAGTATTTCTGTAGTTCAGGCAAAAATGGCAACACTTTAACAGTTCTGTCAGGAAGCTTTACGCAGCAGAGTGTATAAGATTTGCCCAGTGTGGTTACTCTTGCAGTGGGAGTTGTGACCCCTATTGGTTGATTGTTATTTCCATAAATGCTGCTGATATTGACTTTGTTATTTGAGATAGTCCTTGTACTGGTTGATCTAGTAGTGAGAAGGGGCCTTATACACTTAGGCACTTGTGCAGGTTCATTTGCTTCATGGAGAGACCAGGAATATACAATGATTAAAATATATATATACAACTAACAATCAACTTCCAAAATACATGAAGTAAAAACTAATAGAAATTTCAAAAACAAATAGAAATTTTGAACACCCACATTTGTATATTTTATTATATGCAAATAATATTTGTATTAACAATACAAATTTTATGTGTCTATACTATGTTTTCATGAAAAACAATTTCACAGAATGCCATCAAATGAATATTATATCTAGACCTTAAATGTATAGAATGATCAAAATTTTGGCATATCTTTAAATTTCGTCTGCCATTTAAAACTTAAACTATTTCAATTGGCTTTAACTAAGCAAGCACTTTGATATTGTGTAAATGAGACACAACTGTATATTGGATAAAAGGAGCTCTATCCGTGGTCATTAACACCTTAACATGGGAGTCTAAGTTCTGTCCTAAAAGTAAACCTAACATGTAAATATTTTAATATGGCTGTGATGTTAACCTTTTGACATATTAAATGCATTGATGTTCTCCAAATGTACAAGCTTTCTGAAAACAGGAGAACTTACCATACTGGTATTCTCAAGCAAAATTGTTTATAATGACTTTTTCAAGCTTATGTTCATGTGATTGCCATACAATTTTATTATGATGGTTAGATACGCCTAAACACTGTGCAATACCAGCAGTATCACTCTAAGGATTAAATGTTGGACATTATGGCACATCTGTAAACAGGTACATTCCACTTAGAAAGGCACTTTATTTAAAAAGTACCAAATTTAGTTATGAATTTATTTATATCATTTAATATATTGTAATTGGTTAAAGGTAGCTGATAAAGCTACTTTACAATAAAATGGAATTTTAAATGTAACTTTTTGTCTTTTTGTGACAGGGTCTCCCTTTGCAGTTCAGGCTGGCCTTGAGCTCATTTTGTAGCCCACTCTGGTCTTGAACTCACAACAATCCTCCTGCCTCAGCCTCCTGAGTGCTGAGATTATGGGCATGAGCCACATGCCAGGCTGAAATGTATTAATTTAGACATAATAAAAAGAAAATAATAATTCTAGTATTATAATGTCATTGTAATTAATATGTTAAAATGTTAGTTTTGCTCCTGATTTTACATTTTCCTATAAACCTTCATAACTGATATCTCTTAAAAATTCTACAGGCATACAGCTTCTGAAAAACAACTTATGCGTTACATTAAGATTGCAGAATATCACCTACAGTACAGATAGAAATATGACTGACTTCTAACAATAATGCTGATACTGATTAATAGAAGAAGTAGCTTTTCTTGCATCAGACTTTACATTTCAAAGTGCCCGAAATTGAGATAGGATTATAATACTTAATGCCTACTCTTCCCACTTCAAGACTGGTTCAACTGACCATCTGAGTGCTCAGTAACTGAGGCTTGGAGACCAAAAGTAATGAAGATAAGTGAGCTAGTGTTACCGTAGGTGACAGAATCTGGGCTTGTGTTCCCAGGTTCTTGTGTGTAACAGAGTTGGACATGGCATATAATGGCAAGGAGACATCAGTAAAGTTCATTAAGGTGATAGTATGCTCACAGTAAATGGGTTCATACTGTGAAAGGAAAATTAAAGAAGCACTGAGGGCATAGATTGGTTTGCAGCTGATTAAACTAACCACCCCAGGATTGGACTGTGAGCTCTCAACCGGACTCACTGGCTTTCTGGGATTAATATATTGCCTTGTCTTCCACCTGGATGGATAAGATGTATTTTAGAATTTGCTGGCTATGGGGCAAATCTGTCAAAAACATCACTCAACCAGCCAATCTACCATGCCTACAACACCAGTGCTCCTGAAGTGTATTTCACTGGCATGACTACCTCGCCACCATTTTTATCCCTTTTTTATAATTGCAGGATATCATTTACATTTAGAATCACTAAGTACAGTCAGTAAGCTCTTAATGACACCCAACAAGGAATATCACTTTTAATTACTAAAGTCAAGTTAATGAGATAAGAAGTTCTTCCAAACTGGATGATTTTAAATATTTTAACAGCTGCTTAGGGTGGAACTTGTAACATTATTTAAGCTGAATGTTGTGTTTACATTCCTGATAAGTCTGAGAAAGTTTCATGTGCCCCCTTTAAGACTTTCACCAATAAGTATATTGTATGCCTAGTCTAGAGATCCCTTAGGAAATGTCTTCATGGGAGGCTTTTACTTACTTGACCTCATCATGTTGGCAGAAAAACTTACTGCTTATTGGAGCAGTCATTCTTTTAGCACTATTATTTGGTAATTTAGATACACTTTGTCTCTTCCAGATTGGAAGCATTCCACCCACAAATGATGGTGATGCCTGATGTCTAGCAAGGGTCCTCAGATAAACCTTCTGCGTGCAGAGTTCCCCTGGTTGCCAAAAGTATTACTCTGAACCTACTTAGCAGGAAAAATTTGGATCTGTCATCACCCATGCCCCTCAACAGCAGTTAGGGACACCTCTACACAGCAGGAGGTATTATGGACAGGTAATTTAAGCAGAAGACAACACGGCCCAGTGCATCCTCGACCAGTTCATCTGCCCTGGCCAGGCCAGTTGGGTGTGGCAGAATGGCATCTTGCTGCTGCTGCCACATGGCATGGAGGGCATGGACCCAGAGCACTCCTCCACCTATCCGAAGTGCTTCCTGCAGATGTGCAAGGACGACCCAGATGTCCTGCCTGACCTTGGGGGAGCCAACTTGGACATGAGCCAGCTGTAGGGCTGCAACTGGGTGGTCCTCAACTGCTCCATGCCCGGCAACTTCTTCCACGTGCTGCGCTGGCAGATCCTGCTGCCCTTCCAGAAGGCGTTAATTTCCTTCACGCCCAAATCCCTCCTCGCCACCCCAAGGCTAGAACCAACTTGGATGAGATGTTTGCAGGAACTCACTTCCAGCGGGTGATTCCGGATGACAGCTCCACGGTGCAGGACCCCAGCCCGGTGAAGGGGCTTCTCTTTTGCACCAACAAGGTGTACTATGACCTCACCCAGGAGGGCAAGGCCAGGGGCATGGCCAAGCAGGTGGCCATCTTGAGGATCGAGCAGCTGTCGCCATTCCCCTTTGAACTCCTGCTGAAGGAGGCACAAAATTACCCCGGCACCGAGCTGTTGTGGTGCCAGGAAGAGCACAAGAACCAGGGCTGCTACGACTACGTGAACCCGCAGCTCCAGACCACCATCGACTGCGCCAAGCCCGTCTGGAACGTTGGCAGTGACCCAGCCGCTACGCCGGCCACCGGCAATAAGCAGACTCAACTGATGGAGCTGCAGAGCTTCCTGGACATGACTTTCGATCTGGACGCCTTCAGGAAATTCTCTTAGACGCTCCCGGGCTCCCCAGGGCGGCCCCACGTCACAGTCACAATGCCCCTTGCTTCTGGACTAAAGCGTCGCAGCGCCTCGGCCCTGCCCCTGCCCGCCCTCAGCCCTCACTGCACTGCACCTCACTCGCCGCCCTGTTGCTGCCCACGCCCCTAGCCGCGGCCACCGCCCTGGCCACCTGCTGTCCCTGCGGCCATCTGTCCTGCTGAGCGGTGGCCCCAACTGGTGGGGAGCAGGAGAAGGGCGCGCTCACCCCACCTCTCACTCCCTGAGCAGGAACAGAGCGTAGGATGGCTTCCCGGGTCACTGACAGTCCTTGTTACGCAGCAGGACCGGTCCTCCACCAGGACTAGGGGTAGCTGCATCTTGCTGGCTGAACCTGAGAAGGCACAGGGGCGCCACAGCCGGCAGGGCTTGCCAGGGTCCTTTGTACGGGAGAGTGCACTGCGGGGGTGGGTGCAGCCGTGTAGTGATCCTCTTCGCATGCCCTCTGAGGGTCCTGGGCTGGGCTCGGGGCCAAATCCTGCCCACCCTACTGGGGGTCCCACAGCAAGTCACTGGTCTCCCTATCCTGCCCCTCCTGCCCCAGCCCCTCCTTCCTGCGTGTCCGGGAACGCAGCGGAGCACACTCAGTGCGTCCTTTTCCTCGCTGTGCCAAAGCAGGTCAGAAGCAGGAGCGGCAGCGAGGCAAGGTGGGCCAGTGGCCCCCCGTCCCCTCACTGACCACGGGGACAGATCTGATTTATTTATTCGGGTTAAAAAGCAAAAACAAAAACAACTTTGCATTGCATTGGCTTGACCCATAAACTAAGTTATTCACCGCTTAAAAAAAAAAAAAAAAAAAACCGCTGGCTGGGGCAGGCCCAAGATGGAGCAAGAATGGCCAGGCCCTGATCAGATTAGTGAAATGCTGGCTACTTTTTGCTATAAAAACTTGTAGACAAAGTGTCCCGGTGGCAGCCCAGTTTCAGTTCCCCTAGCAATTATTGGAAGCTATTTTCCTCTCCTGAATAAACCTCCTACCATCTGCCTCCTTGGTTCACAAATTCATGCTTTGGCTTTGTGAGACACTGACACAAGTTACACGGTCACAAAAACATGCAGATTAGAAAAAAGTAAAACTGTCTCTATTTGTATATAACAGGATATTATACATACAAAAACAAGTAACTTATCAAAACTAATTTTAACCTCTGTAAGTTTAACACGATTGCAGAAAACAAAACCAATACTGAAAAAATCGTGCTTTTATATAGTGACACTTAAAATCTGAAAGTAATATTAAGAGAGAAATCCCACTCAGTCCACCAGTTGTAAGAATGGAAGATTGAGCAAACAATCAAAGACAGTACCAAGTCATAAAAAAAAAATGGAAATGATGCAGAGCTTCAACATACAAGATGGTAGGAGTTCAACAATGGTTCTTATACTGTTTATTGTTGTCTTCAGATCAGTCATTCTGATTACCAGGTAGAAGCATGCAAAATTGGTCAAGAAAAGAGAGAATTTTAAGCATTAACTATTCCTTTCAAAAAACCAGACATCAGCAATACACCAAACACAGCTATCCTTGTATATACATATAAATTTCGTGTAGCAACCATTGTTAACTCCTATCATTTTGTTTTGAGGTCATGTATTGTTTTTGTTGTTTTTGTGTTGTTTTGTTTTTGTCTTCATTGTTGTTTTGTTAGGTTTTTTCTCTTTAAAATAAAAAATACATATAAAAATAAAAAAGAGAAATCCTACCTACAATAGCATGAAGATAATAAAATAAAAATTTATTTTACAGAAAAAATTTAAATATGTACTACAAAAATTATAAAACACTGTTGGATAGGCGAAGGGGATAAAAAATTAAGATACATTATGTACATGTATAAACTTTCCATGAGAAATGTAATTATTATGTACAGTAAATATGTAATCATGAACAATTGAAAAAAGTACTGTTAGAAGAAATTAAGGAAGACATATAAATAGAAAGAAATCACCTTAGAAAATGTAATGTCATTAACAAGGAAACAGTTCTGAAATTTATCAACAATACCTATCAAAATCTTGGTTGGATTTTGTTATAGAAATTGAGAAACTGATCCTTCAATTCATACTGACATGTAAATGACTGAGAGTAGACTATCTTGGAAAGAAGAAAATACTAAAGTACTGAAATTTCAAAACTTACTAGAAAACTAAAACAATCAATACAATGGACTGCTGGCATAAGGAAGGACAAATATGAAAGGATTTGAATTGAGTATATGAAGAATCTTATTATATTTATTTATATTAACTAAAATAATGGTGGCACAACAGTCTAAGAGGCAAAGCTTAATCATTTAGAACATGTTACTGTACCAACTGTATAACCACACGAAAAAATGAATTGGACATTTATCTCACACCATCAACAAAATAATAAAAACTGCTTAGAAAGAAGCATCAATGTAAATCTTTGTGATGTAAGATTAGGTAGATTTTTTACATATGACGCTCAAAGCAAGAGCAATAAGAAAACTACATAAATTTGACTCATTAAAATTAAGTGCTTTTGGGGGCTGGGGATTTAGCTCAGCGGCAAAGCGCCTGCCTGGCAAGTGCAAGGTAGTGAGTTCGGTTACCGGTATGGGAGAAAAACCAAAAAATAAAAAATAAAAAAATTAAATTAAATTAAATTAAATGCTTTTGTAGATAATAAAAAAGGTAAACAGACAAATAGAGAAAATATTACCAAACCATAAATCTGATAAAGGTCTTATACCCAGAATATGTTAAAAAAAAAAAGAGAGAGAGAGAGAAAAAAGAAAAAAAGTGCTACTCAACGACAAAATATTCCATTTAAAAATAAGCAAGGGATTTTGGATATTTTTCAAAACAAAGTAAAGAGGCTAATAATCATGCAAAAAGATCATGAACATCTTCATTAGGAAAATGCAAGTGAAAATAATGTAAAACATCACTTCACACTCACTAGGATGGCTACCACAATAACTGGACAGTAATAAGCATTGGTGAGGAAATGGATAAACTGTTGGCATGAACATAATATAGTAGATTCCTGTAGAAAAATTTATTTTTCTCAAAAATTTAAGCATGAAAATCACAACATGACCCAGAATTTCAACTCATATATATACATTCAAGATAAATAAAAATATGTGTTCTTACAAAAATTTGTACACAATATTCATAGTAGCATTATTAATGATTGCCAAAACTGTTAACAATCCAAATTCATCATCTGAAGAATAGGTAAATGAAATGTTATACATCAGTACAATGGATGCATATTCAGGCATAAAAGAATGAGGTACTGATAAGTGTTACAATATGGATGAGCCTTGAAAATATTATCCAAATTGAAACAAGCCAATCCCAATAGATTATACATTATATAATTACACTTTTATGAAATATTTAGTTTTAAAAATTCCATAGAAACAAGAAGTACAGGGGTTGGGGATTTAGCTCAGCGACACAGCGCCTGCCTGGCAAGGGCAAGGTCGTGAGTTTGATTCCTGGTACCTGAAGAAAAACAAAACAAGAACAAAAAAAATGAACAAGAAGTACATTAGTAGTTATGTTTTTTGTCTTTCGTTTTTCTTCCAGTACCAGGAATCGAACTCATGACCTTGCACTTGCCAGGCAGGCGCTTTGCCGCTGAGCTAAATCCCCAACCCATATTAGTAGTTATGAAGGGCTTGAAGGAGATAGCAATGTAGGCTGACTGCTAAAGGGCATAGGGTCTACTTTGCAAATGATGAAAATGTTTTAAAAATAGGTATACTGATATTTTCACCACTCTGACTACTAAAAATAAATGAACAGTTTGTTTTCAGTTCATGTAATTCATGGCACGTTGATTATATCTAAGTAAATGTTATTGAAAATATTCCCAGCATTGGGTTCCAAACTTATGCTCTAAACAATAGTTTGGGAAATGATGAAAACTGGTGTAAGAGGAATATTTCAACACTGGAATGATTAAGAAAATACAGATCTAGAGGTAAAAGGCATCAGAAAAAAAAATGTTATTCTAGATATGGTTTAGTAGGAAGGTCCCCAAGAACAAAACATCTGAGAAATAAAAGAATTTGTGTCCTTTACACTTAGAATCATAGGAGACAGGAGCTTCTCTTAGGTGCTCTGCACTAACATATTATCAAGGATGGAGAGGATCTCACATGGGCCAGAATAATACAGATGGTTCTACTTTTATTCCACAAAGGAAAAAATGTAGGAGAGAGATGAGACTGGTAGGGGAAAAGAGCACTCTGAAGACTTGTGGCTTCAATTTTGAGAAGCAAATACTATGCAAGTTGGGGCTTGAGTGTAGATGTGAGAAAAAACAGATATAACTAAAGTTATCTTAAGAGGTGATGTAAAGGGGAAACTTAGGCCAAGAAGAGATAGAATTTTGTTCATTAGGGGATGTCAGCATGTGTAGACACTAGTGAAAAAGTACCTCTCCTAGATGCTATGATATTATTTGATCACCTTGAAATGTTTATACACTGTCCTAGAGGGAGGTTGATAGATGAAGTCAAATTCTAAACTGCACTCTAAAACAACTAGTGAAATCTATTTGACACCCATGAATAAATATTGCCTTGTCTCTCTGGTGTGAGAAACTGAAAGTGTAAATAAATACCAAAATGTATAATAGACATTGTGCAATAGGAGTAAATTGTTAAAAAAAAGGGGGGGGGGAATGAGGAGAGGAAGGAAGGGAGAAAATGAGAAAGAAGGATAAAATGCAAACAAAACTTTATAAATAAGAGGGGAACCAGGGTTTAAGGGAGGGGCAGGGAATGGGAACAAATGAGGTACTAAGGTATATCACGTGCAGTTACAAGTTCTCTATGATGAATACGATCATTAAAATATCTAAATTGTACCAATAAATTTAAATTTTAAAAACTTTAAAAAATAAAACAACTATGAAAATCTAAAATATCATTTTTTACTTAGAATTAATAGCAAGCTTCTGCCACTAGGGG